AGTATACCTAAACCACGAAATCTAGCACGCAAACAATTGAAATCCATCAACCGTGCGGCTACGCGTTAGCAGTAATCGAATTTGGGAAAAAAGACCTGTTAAAGTTTGAGCTCAAAAGAGGACCGAATGTGATGGAAGAGCTAATTAGCTCCCTTGAATCATCAGCGAGACAAATTTACGTAGAAAAAAGGAAATATTACACTTTCACTGGTATAACAGACCAGGAACGGGAAGATGCTACAATTTGTTGGATATGTGAGAATGATTTTTCCGACAATGATCAAGTGGTACTTGATCCTTGCCATTACACCAACAAGTTCCTGGGTTGGGCACACAATGAGTGTAACGTTAATAGGAAAACAACAAATTACATTCCAGTGGTAGCTCATAATTTGTCAAATTATGATTTACACTTTAGAATCAAAGCGCTGGCAAAAAGCGATTCGGAAAACACTTTTTCCGTAATACCCGCATCTAAAGAAAAATATATTTCCTTGACAATCTCAGTATATATAAAAACGTACACGGAAAAAAACGGAAAAATCAAAAAACTCTACGAAAATTTGAGATTCATCGATTCGTATAGGTTCATGCTAGCATCGTTGGCAAAACTTGTCGATAATTTGCCCAACGAAAAGTTTTTTCTGCTGGAGAACTATTTTGAAAAACTCGGCCACTCACCTGAAAAAGTCAGTATGTTGAAACAGAAATACTTCAACTCATTCGAAAAATTCCGAGAAACTCGCCTTCCCCCACGAGCAATGTGGAAAAATAGTCTAACAGGAGGGGATGTGAGTGTTTCAAGAAGCGAGTACAATCATGCCTTTAAAGTTTTCACCGAACTGAAGTGTGGCTCACTTGGTGATTACCACGACTTGTACTTGACTACAGATGTGCTATTGCTTGCTTCCGTTTTCGAAGCTTTTCGTGAAGTTTGCTATCAAACATACGGGCTGGATTGCGCCTGTTACTTCACGGCAAGTATCTTTTCCGGGGACGCCTTTCTAAAAGTTTGTAAGCCCAAACTGAAACTCTTAACGGACCGTAAACATCTGGGCCTTGTGCAGCGAATGATACGAGGAGGCATGTCGTCGGTTTACGCGCGCCGATTTTACAAAGCAAACAATAAAGACCTCGACAATTTTTCGCATTCAAAACCATCAAGCTACATCCTCAACATTGATGCAAACATTTTGTACGGGGGGATAATGAAACACTGCCCTTTGCCCCTAAACGATTTTTCAATAGTTGAAAAAAGTCTGGCAGACATACTGCTCACCAGCGAAACCTCAGAGTGGGGTTATATAGTTGAAGTCAATTTAACCATACCCGAAGAGCTTCACGACTTCTTTGCTGATTACCCCCTTGCCCCCTCTCGTGAAGTAGTGGACATCGGTGCAATGAGCAACGAGCAAGTCGACATGTTGGGAAAATTGGGAATCACCACACTGCCAAAAGTGCCAAAGCTTCTACAGACCTTGCATCCTAAAGAAGGTTATGTTTTGCACTACCTAACCCTAAAATTGTACCATGAGCTGGGAATGGAAATAACCCACCTAGGAAAAGTTCTTCAGTTCCGCCAAAGTTACTGGATGGCAGCCTTTGTCGACCTCAACACCCGCCTACGGAAAGCCGCGGTAAAAAAATTCCAGGAGAACTTCTACAAGCTAATTGTTAATTCAGCTTTCGGTAAGACAATGGAGTCTAAGTTAGGAAGAAAGAAGCTGGAGATTGTAAGGAATGAGAGAGAACTTTTACAAAAAACAGCTCTGAGCACAAGGAAAAGCTTTCAAATCATTGACGATCAATTAGCCACAATCAGCTTTTCAGTAAGAAAAATATTGTGGGACAAACCTATGATGGTTGGTGCAACCATCCTAGACCTCGCCAAACGTTTCATGTTTCAGTTTTATTACTAAAAATGAAACCAAATCTAAACTTGGAACTCCTTTACTCCGACACGGATAGTTTTATTTATGCCATAAAAACTGATGACAATTACCGAGACTTGGAAAAAATAAAAGCTGATTTCGACTTTTCAATTTACGATGAGGACCATTTCTTGTTCGAGGATATCAACAAGAAAGTTGTGCTGAAGTTCAAAGACGAGACTGGTGGGAAGCCGATCAGAGAATTCATCGCCCTAAAACCGAAAGTATATTCGGTCGTCCTTAATGGTAAATAAAAATTAGGCCACCCTTCCACCCCCATTCCTACCTTTTACAGAACAAAATTACCACCACCAACCCCCTACCCCCTTAGTTTTTTGCATTAAACTATGGACATTTAGCTGATTTAGGCAACATTATACAATGTTGCCTAAACGTTGATTTATCTGACAACATATTCCCTCTCTTTTCCTCTTTTTTAATCATAGTTTAGAGTCTTCTGCTCTTTTTTGGTAAAATGAATGAAATTTTGTTCCGTAAAAATTGAGTTGCTGAAGTGAAATAATACTATCCCCTGCGTTGTATAAAAGAATAAAAACTTTGCTTCTGTTTAGAAGGCACTCAAAAATTAAGTGCCAAAGGAGTTAAACGGAGTGCACAGAGAGAATTGGTCCACCAAACCTTCAGGGACACATTATTCACTGGAAAGACAATGAGAGTGTACAACTATAATATAGTTTCGAAAGGTCACACCAATATGACAGTGAAACAAAACAAACTTGCATTATCACCATTCGACTCAAAATGTTTTCTACTTTTCGACGGAATTTCGACAGTGCCCTTTGGCCATAAAGCCGCTGAAGAAAATGCTTTTCTAGAAGACTTTTACATGGACACCAAGTGGGCCAACTCATACAATGATACTGATAACAGTTCTCCCGATTTTCAACTTCCAGATTGGGGATTTTTACAGCGGCCCTACTCAGAAACAGAGCTGCAAGAAGAAGAAGCTTCTAGTAGCCGAGTCCGTGAACGTCCCCCTATAAATAACCCATTTATTTTATCTGAAGCTTCAGAAGAACGACCACCTAAAAAACAGCGCAAGGAAAACCAAAACAATAAACATTAAAGTCTGAAACATATATTTTTAGATGATTTTTACTGTTCGTCCTTTTTATACTTCGACTTGTATATGTTTTGGTTTTTACCAATTTACAACTAATAAAATACACGTATTGAGCTCAATCACTCTTTTTACATAAATAGCTTCTGGCAAATAAACTAGTTGACGCAAACCAAGTGTTAATTCAAACAAAGGTGTGAAATCCTTAGGCTCGTTTTCATTAACAAACTTTAATAGCATGACAAATCTTTGACGAAAAGAAAGAAGGCCAGGAAATGATATCCACAGGAAGCTAGGACGAAAAAGAAAAGTTCAGGAATTAGGACGATTAATTTTAATTATCGCGGGAAAAGGGACCGCTTTAAAAGGAATTAGAAGGAATTATTGTATCGCGTCCCGGTTGTTGAGCTCAGCTTAACAAGATCCTAAGGAGTGGGTCTTTTACTTTAGGGGTGGGAACTTGCGATTATTTACAAAATCCTAGGATAGGGGTCCTCCAAAAAATTAAGGACCCCTTTCCTAGGATTTTGCTTTACGTGAGGACCCCCCCCCCCCTTTGGAAGGACCCTCCCCCCCTAGGATCCGGGACACGATACAATACTACTTGTTTATCCGGCTGCAAAGGATTGACATCTTCAGATTGGATTCAAAACTCAGACCTGAACTAACAATTTAAATTAATTTTTTTTCTGTAAAATTGTTTTTGAGTAACCATGGGATTTCCTAGATCTCAAAATATTAGAGCAATCTCCATGGAAGTTTAAATTAGCTTTTCTTAAAGGTTCCCTAATTTGATTTAGTTTATGTTCTCAGCAACTTCTGATATATGTACTTCCGTGACCATTAGTATCACTGCTCAACGGTTCAACTTAGCGCTAAATATTTGAAAGTTGTTTCGACTGTTTTTGAAATTTTATCAAGCTCGAACCAAACCCCAAAATCGTGTCAGTATCTGTTTCATTCAAGCACTGAATTTGTTTGCCTTCTTGAATGATGAAACATGAAGTACAAACCTCGACTCGGAAAGTGACTTTTAATGGCTGAGCTATTTGTTGTGAATAAACTAATAAATGAAATTTTCACACCCATCCTACCATGAATTTTCACAGCTTCAAGCAAAGTTTATTTGATTCAGCTGCTTTTTGGATGAAATAATAAAGAAGCAAAGATAATAAGCAAGAAAAATAACCAAAACGAAATTGCTATCAGGCTCCCAAATTTGTAGACTAGTTTTTGAAATTGGTAGCAACTATCTCGCAGAGTGAGGCAGTCTCTGATCGTCAGTTTTCAAACGTCTCTGATGGTCGGTTTACAAACGTTACTGAGCCTCTGGGCGTCATCAAACGTCTCTGAGTCTCTTAACAAAAATGCTTTAATAAATGTTTAGATTTTAAAAATTTCGTTTATATATCATTTTGATGCGAGTGTAATCATTTATTATGATTTAAATTGCCAGTGACTAGACCTGATTACCTCGTATTGGGCCCAAACCAAATCATGTCAGCTGGCCAAAAACCTGCACTGAAGTTTTTTTCTCATCTGATCTACAAAATAATCAGTTAAAAAATACTGCTAAGTAGCAAACAATAACGGTGGTCACTTGTTTCTAAAACAAGGTGACAGATTGATTCATTTCGATGTCCCAGCAAAGCCCTAACAAATTTTCATGAGATTTAATAATTTTATCATATCTCGATTCAGTTTTTTGGTAGCTGAAATTTTTGAAGTTGCTTAATTTCAGAATCATATATTCTTGTAATTCTAGGCTTCAACAATAGCTGATTCTGTTTTTTCCGGATAATTGTTTGCTCAATTTCGAAGACTGAAGTATTAAATAATTTACAAAAGTCAAACTATTAGGATGTTAAGTATCAAGGTATGTATATGTTAAGTATCAATTTATGATTTTGAAGTGAATGAAAGTGAATTTGAAAGAATCATTTTCTAAATTTCAGTAGGTTAGATTTAAAACGGTACATTTTTTAAAGGACGATGACGGAGAATTTTCTCGAAAGCTGGAAAAAACACCGTACAGTATTTGTGACGTAAAAATACTTCAAATTAGCTTGTTCATGGAAACCCAAATTGTTTTAATGTCAAATTGTGACTTACTTTGTGTGATGTTCTTTTTAACAATACCCAAATACGAAAAAAAGTATTCTAGCTCAAAGAATTTTCCTCTCAGAAATTCATATACAAGCGAGTTAAGTTTTAGATTCAGCCAGAAAGCTTTAGATTCAACCAGAAGTGGTTAGATTCAACCAGAAAAAATTTTACTTCATTACAAGGTCAGTATGTTTTTTTTTTGAATTGTGAGTGGATTCCGCAACGAGAACGCTCCCTTTGTTCTTCTTTTGTTCTTTTATTCTCTTTGATCGTTTCAACAAAATTTGAACATCTTTTAAGATTTGTCCCCGGAATCCAGGATTATACAGGCACAAAACTGTGCGCCTATCCAATGCACAGTTTGGTCTCGCAATGTTAGTTTTTATTTTTTCAGGTTGAACCTAAGCCAAACTTCATACAAATTGCCAAATCAACCAAATTTAAAATTACATTTTGAAGTTCAAAAGAAAAGAAAATGAAGCAATTTGCATCTCGGGTTGACCGAAAAAGCTAATCATGCAACTTTCATATATAGAAAAACGCAGCTCACACACTTTTCATGTATTCAATAAGTACAGAAAATTGCGTGATAAGTCTATGATCAGAGATTTTTCTTCAATGGAAATTGTACGAAAAGCATTTTTCCATTTAAAAAAATGTAATTAGTTTCAATTTTTTAGAAACTAACTTCACAAAATTTGAGGGATGTGTTTCTGACCGAACACAAGTGACATAAACCAGAGTCACCAATGGTTTGACCGTCTCGCATTTACAATGCATTGAAACGACCTGAATATATACAAATCAAAAACTTATAGAAATAATATACCAAAAGCATCCAGTTTTTGATAAAGATGATTGTTTTCAATTTGGATTTTTGAATGATCAAATTTTGATCAAGACATACATAAGCATGCCATACAAAAATAATAGGAGCTTTTAGCGTTTTTGGAAAAAGTTATCAGAAGAAACGGAGAAAAATCCCGTTTTTCGTGTTTCCAGCACACAAACCATAAAATTTTGCACGCAAAAAAAATATTTGTTTTGGAAAATGTTTGTTTTAGTACAAATTTTGATTTTCGGTTGAAAAAGAAAAACAAAAATGTTGGCATTTTCAAAATTACTTTTTGAAAAAATTTTGTTTTCGAAATTGAAAAAATGCTAGTCAAAAAATTTCATATATGGAAATTGTATGATTAGTTTTTTTGACAAAATTTTTTAGTTTTCATTTAGTACAATACACCGACTTTTATGCAGAAACAAGAGAGAAGTTCCTTGAAAAATAGCTTACACCAATTTAGCAAAATTTATATTTGTATGACTAGCCATTTTCATAATTTTGGTTCTTCAAATTGCATGATTAGCATTTTTGGTCTATGGAGGTTAACCCGGGTTACGTTATTTATCATCTGCTTTCGATCGAAAAATTTTGGGGAGCCCAGGGAAAAAATTCAAATGCACTAAAACTAAAAAAAAATGCCTTATAACGAAGGTGAAAACACACTACGGTTTCCTGTGTTTTGAAAGATCGAAATTGCTATTTTATCCGATCTACAAAGACGAAGTCCTAGATTATTGCTGAAAATTAGAAGAGGTAACGCGAGTTTTTGATCTAGGAATTGTAGACAACTTGAAGTATTTCATATCTGTCAAAAACTAGCACTGTATCTCGGAAAAATTTTTCATTCGGATCACCTTGGTTACAGTTATTCATATTGGGGCTTTCGTTTTCTCGGGAGTCGCCTACCTAAAAGTGCTGTTGTTTGTGAAAAGAAAAGAAAATGAAAACAAGCAAATAAACACAACTAAAAGACAAGCAACGCGAGCCGAGATTAGAATGCAAATTCTGGCTCGAGTGTTTGGCTTTATCAGTGTTGCTTATGGAGCAATTTTTGTACCCCTGTCACTGGCAAATCTAGTCGTGCAGCTACAAATTCGGAAGACTGTTGGGGCTATCAGTGCGTCAACAGAGGGTAGGTAGACATCTTTCGCGGAACAAACTTTCATTTTCGCCTTGACTTTAAAAACGAGAGTGCTTGAATTGAGCATTCGGCTGGTTGATATGGGAGGAACTTTTTGTAAAACACAAAAATCTGTTTCACTGTGAAATCTATTGAAATCACTAGAAACCGTATTTATAAAGCTTCGTTTGACTTTTTCTTGGCTTTATGGCTTTGTGTTTGAATCCTTCCATGTGCTAAGAAAAACCATTTCACGGCTATTTGAGGGGAAAACATTTCATACATTGGAGCAAAATGTTTATTCTTGCTAAATAAGTATATAACGCAAAATTGTTCTGCATATAGGAAAAAAACTAAGAAAAATGACCCGAAAAAGGAGAAAATTTTAGTCTACACTTTTTCTACTGTGAAGGTTGCAGAATCTTAGCTGAAATTGTCTGTGTGACTAATGACTTTTGTTTTTGTTATTTTCATGGTAAGTATTGAGTAAATTAAATATAACGAGCTTTCAAGACAGTAATAGCAAATGATGTGTGCTGCATTAATGAAATAGTGGCACTTATTAATCTTTGCCTTGCCTGAAATTATGTGGCCAACAGAACCATTGGTGCCAAAAAAAAAGTTGAAAAACTGCAAAATAACCAAGAATAATAACAAAATATGATCAAAGTGATCATTTGGATCTTGTTAACTAATACTCTCCCTTTTGGTGGACCTTTTTTTAACTACTCCTGCCCCATATTCGTGTATTAATTTTTAAAGAATTTTTTCTGTATGAATCATGCATTTCAAAAATGTCAAAATTAATTGTTTTTTTTTTCGAGCGTTCGTATTTGTATTACTCACTAATTATAAATAAAAACATAAAAAGCTGTAATTAAATAATTTTTTCTGAAAACTTTTCTAAGCTATTGGAAATGAGGCAGCCAAAATTGATTTTCTGAAAATCGAATTAGGAGGGGGGAATAGTTAAAAAGATCCAATTCTTGTCTTGTCACTGACCGAGTTGACCTCCAACCGAAAAAATTCTTATCAATGAAAATTGCTTTGGAAAAAAACTTCAATCATACGATTTCTTTTTAATTCTCATTGTAAGGTAAGCGTTTTTTGCACTGAAATTGTTTTTCAGAAATTTTTTCAAAGGGAGTTTTAGATGAGTTTATATAAGCAAAACAAAGTTTTAAACTGTTATAAATAGTTTATATAAACAAAAAACACCTATTTGTTTTCATTGTATGAAAAAAAAAAGCTTTTGATCTTCATTTTATACTTTTTTTAGTCTATGGAATTTCATGGAATTTTATGACAAGCATTTGGTCCATAATATGAAAAAGTATTATAGGCATTTTTTTGTCTACCGAGCAGCGTCAGTTTTCTGCATACTTTTAAAGTCTAATATCATATTAGTCATCACCGCTACTTTCGCATAAAGAAAATAAGTGTAATCACTACTCAGTTTCGAAATTAAAACACTATTTGAAACTTTGTATTTCCCTTGAAGATTTTGCTTGTTTGTAGGCTTATGAGTTTTACTTTTAATTTTTGTTGATGTCATTTAGAGTCCATCGACTAAATAGCTTAATTTGCTACATAAGCTCCTTTAATTTATTTCAATAACTGAAAGTTTTTGCCAACAAAAATGCTTGAGAAATGAATTACTCAAATATTAATTGGAAAAAAAACACGGAAAAAAGTGTAGCTTTCATAATAAAATTTTCGGTTCAAACGTTAAAAATTCTGATATAGATATTGATTCTGAAAAATTGAGATCTCCTTTTTTTTGAGATCCGAAAAAGCAATAACAAAAAAAACCTGGAGCAATTTATTTATAGGCGCAACATACCGCAAAAAGTTCATCAAAAAACAGCCTATAAACCATAATTGTCTTTTACATGGCTCCACTTGCATGAAACTGGATACAAGGTGGGCTGTTGCAACGGCAACCAAAATTATAGCGCGTTGTTTTGATAATTGCAACTTCCTAAATTATGTTAAAAATGCTGAAAGGTGCCGAGTATGAAGGTCATTAAGCAGATCCCCGCTAGTTTTGACAAGCTTTTTGCAAATTATAATATACAACAAATACTCTAAGAAAAATAATCTATTTTATTAGTTTTGATTTGACAATCTATAAACATTTTAGTTTCAGATCATGTCGAGGAATTTTTATCGCAAAAATTTTTTTCATAAAGGGGCTGTGATTAAGCTTTTTAAAATAATTTTTTCATATTTCGATGACGTATCAATTTTTGATGACCTTTTTTTTTGAACTGATAGCCAAAATTGCTAAAAATCTAATTGATTTTTGCAACTGAAAAAGTATCTCATTTTAACGCATTCACTTCGCGTTCACTTGCATTCGCTTCTCGAGTTTCACTTCGTTTTGTAGTAAAAAGTGTAAAATGGGATACAAAAACTCACTATTTAAAATTCATCACCTTTCCAGCTATATTTTGAATTGTAGGTGTAATTCTTCTCATAGTCAATCGAAGCTCACAGAAGGCATTTCTCAGATTTGAGAGATGTTTGACATCTTGGATCGGCAATTCTGCTTAAAAAAGCAAACTTTAAATCTATGTGGCCTATGATATCAATTAAATGTTCCTTATCGAAGTTTTAGTTGGCACTATACTTGCAGCACTATAGGAATACTATATTTGCCCTGATTTAGGAGTAGTCTTGTTAGAATATGTTCAAGAACAAACTGGACACTAAACCTTTACAGGAGACGTAGAAGTGGTTTAAACGAAACAAAGTCACACTCTGATAAAAAACAATGATGTTATGCAAAAGTAAGTTGAAAAAAAAACTGCTGGTATCACGGCAAAGCGCTTCCCGGCTTGACCAAAATGTGCAACCATACGTCGCACCATGCATGGTTCCATGGAATGGTTCCATGGGGGCATTTGTTCAAATTGTCATCCATTTGAATTTTGTTTCAGATTTCAAAAAGTCATTTTTTTTAAACGAACACTAAAATGCAGTAGGAAAAAGAGTTCCTTTTCCTAATGCATTTGTTCAAAACAACGTGATTGATTTCATCAATTGTGAATTAATAATAACACGACTGCTCGTATCAGGGCAAAGCCCTGAGTGTTCCGACTGCTTTTGAAGGTTTATGGAGCAGCAGTAATAACATAAAAACATTATATGAAATAAAATAAAATGAAAAATTTTTTTTCTAAAATTTGAAATTTTGTATGAAAATCATCATCCCACACGCCATATAAAGTACAAAAAGATAGTTTTCGTTCCTTGTAACACATCAATAATGGCAAATAAGCTTCGTTCAACCAATTTGGAACGATTTATAAGACGGATTAAATCTCCGCTTACGCGTTAATAGCGCGAATTATATCGCGCGTTAATTGTCCCAAATTGGTCAAAAGGGCCAAAATGGCAATCTTTAAACCCTCATAACTTTACGAAAAATGATCACTGGTGAAATATCTTTTCAAATTTAAGCTCAGGACAACAATACCTTTTGAATGATATAAAAAATTCCGTCAAAAATGGCTAGTTAAAAAGTCGAAATTTGCCTGAAGAAAAAAAAACCACCCCGAGCACAAATATTCCGTTACTTTCGCATCGAAAGTCGGAACAATAAATTAAATTGCTTATATTTTAATCGATTAACAAGAGGAGTCAACTCTCTGCTCTCACTTTTGTAGCCCTGATACGAGCAGTCTTGTTGCTATTTAGGGTCGTTTTTGCATAATGTAATGAGAGGAACACGAAAAAAATTCTTAAAAGTTACTTCGAAGCTAATGTTCTTTTTGTTCCGACTTTCGATACGAAAGTAACGGAATATTTGTGCTCGGGGTGGGTTTTTTTTCTTCAGACAAATTTCGACTTTTTAACTAGCCATTTTTGAAGGAATTTTTATATATCATTCGAAAGGTATTGTTGTCCTGAGCTCAAATTTGAAAAGATATTTCACCTGTGATAATTTTTCGTAAAGTTATGGGGGTTTGCAGATTGCCATTTTGGCCAATTTGGGACAATTAACGCGCGATATATTTCGCGCTATTAACGCGTAAGCGAAGCGGAGAGTTAATCCGTCTTAGAAATCGTTCCAAATTGGTTTAACGAAGCTCATTTGCCATAACTGATTTGTTACAAGTAGCAAAATCTATCCTTTTGTACTTTATATGGCGTGTGGGGGATGATTTTGCCCTGATACGAGCAGTCTTGTTTTGATTTGAACTCAAAACAACAATTAATTTGGAATGATATAAAATACCTTAGAAAAACTGCCAGTTGACCATGAAATTCGTCTGGAGAAAATAAGCCATCGGGCCCAATTATTCCGTCATTTTCTCGGAAAAGAGTCGGAACAAAAAAAAACATTCCCCGAGTCTTTGAGACAAAGAATGAAACATTTAAAAAAAATAAAAACAAGCAGTTACTCTGAAGAGGTCCAATTGTATGATGTATTGAAAGGAAACAGTGTGAAAAACTCTCAGAGAGCATTTAATAAAGCGCCGGTTAGTGTTCAAGTGGCGGTTAGTGTTCAAGTGGAGGTTAGTGTTCAAGTGGCGCAGAATTTTCCGACCGTAGTCGCAATTAAATGTTTTTTTTTGTCGAATTAGGGTCGTTTTTTTGGCTTGGTGTAAAAAAACAACTGAATGAAATAATAGAAGTTCAGCAAATGCGACAGTCAAAGTCAAATAAGCCAATTCGAAAACTTTTTTTTTGCAGAAAACTTGTTCAAATTTTTGAAGTTTTTGGTTCCCTATGTACTAATATGTGGTCACAAGGAGGTCTGCTTTTTTCCCTTCGTGAGAAGAAAATTGGAAGAGCTGGCACGGAAAAAAAACGAAGTGAAAACGCCAGAAACTTAGGCTCAGTGAAACAAAAACAATAAAACTTAATTTTATCTGTAAAAATGCATCATCTAAATATTCGTGTGCTAATCTTAAAACACATGGTCATTTATACAGATTTTTAATATTGCCTAATGGGAAAGCAACAAGATGATTTTGCTTTGTTACATCTGATATTTTTTTGATTTTTTCGATTACCAGTGTTTCCAATCCTATCAATCCCATTATCAACCTCGTAATACTCATAGTTTTTAAATTGATATTTAGATTTTGGTGATATTGATTTCCATTACCGGGTTGACTACATACCGGGTAAAAGCGATGAAGTATATGACAGGACTTATCAATTGTATCGATGTCAAACAATCGAAGTTGGGTTCATTGGTCTGTCACGGCTCTTCCCTGTTGTTAACTGCATCATTTTGATTTTTCTTCTCGTTCATATGAAGATTGCCGCTAAGAGGACCCGCAATTTCCTTACTCAGAAGATGGCATGCAGATAAAACGAGAACTCGGTTATCATACCTAATCCTTTACTGATCATTTTGGTTTTCCTTGCTACTTGATTATGTATAGAAGAATCAATTTTTATCCTGCAATTGAATCCAAAAAACAACCCAAAAATTAAAAAATAAACTTGAAAAAAATCAAGGTAAATCCTTTGCTTTGTCCGATCAAACTTGCCTTGCTAATCAGTAAAGATTGTTTGTTTAAAAAATGGTCGAAAAAAGCTTTCGCGTTGACCTCCATAGAAAAAAATATCACACGTTTCCATTAAATGAGTCTATGAAAAACATCGTTTAACAATCAATTTCTTTTTTTAAATATTAACTGATCAACTGATTTTCCATACAAACGAAAATAGAAGGGTTTAAGAGGTTGATTTTATGTAATTTAAAACAGTTTTGTGTGTTTTAGATTACATAAAATGAACCTTAAACTTTTCTAATTTTTTTGTATGAAAATAATGCTTTTTACTTAATGTTTTTGAAATGGAAATTCATTGATATACGATGTTTTCATAGGCTCATGTAAAAGAGTTGTGTGAATTGTATTCTTGGCTGACTGAAAACCCTTTTTTATCAGAAGTTTTATTTTGCATTTTAAATATAAATTGTTTGATAATTTAATTTCCAAAACTTTTCAAAATTGAGGGACATAAAATTTTGCTCTCATTTAAGTAGCTGTTTCAGATCTACTTTACAGGTTTTATCTATTAAGTTTTTCAGGCACAGTTTTTTCACAGAAGGATCAAAATTGACAATGAAGCTTTTTTTTCTGTGCGGTCAGAGTTTTGGTTTTTGTTTTCAGATGATCAGAAAAAACTAAATCTGCCCACGTTTTTCAACCACTGAATTTTCTAAAGAAAATTCCCTTTTAGCCATATACAAAAACGAAAATTTTGACCTTTTGAAAAATGTGGGTGATTTTTGTACCGGGATGTGTTTGAGTTTTTTCTTTCGTTTCTTTTTGTTTTTACGCAAAATCAGCAAAAACAAATAATCAATAAAGTAGGTCAAATCAATTATTCTATTAAAATCCAATTTCAAAAAAAGTTCGAAAATTTTCAATTTCCAGTCTATCTTTGAACTAATGTTTTTCAGCGCCTTTTTGGCAAACAAAAACTTCCAAACGTAAAAGGAAAATCTGCAATAAAATGGAAAAAGAGTTTGAAAATTTTTTATACAATTTGTGTTTTAGTTTTACTAGTCAATTTTCTATCTAAACAAATTTCGAAGCAGCCTATCCGACTATGGTTGTCGAATATGCCTAATTTTGATTCTTTGGCTCAGATTTTTTGATCACATCTTACAGGAAAATTACACTAATTTGAAAAAGTGTACTTTTTCAAAATTGAGTTGCAAAGATGGAGTTGCAAAGTTAACTCTTTTCGTTTAAGTGAAAAACGTATGACAAAACTTTTGTCAATCTGGGTCAAAAATAACCACATGAGCATAACGGGTATAGTTTTTTATATATGCAAAAATATCTCAGCGGACCCCGACGCACACAGTGCGTGTCCCGTAGCTTATCCTAGCCATGCCGAGATGGAGTTGGACACTCTTGCTACCTGGTCACTTAAAGGGAGCGTGTAGTGCATACGACATCCCACCTTACGTGACCAGCTTGGATCCTATAGGGGCACCACTCCTATTCAATCCCACTCGTTGGTCCATGGTCATCATAGAATACCCACAGGGATAACTTAAAAGGTCACTGGCTTAGTCCGAGGTCTTTGGCTTAGACCGATGAGCATAGCTCTACTTGCACTACTTGGGCAGTAATCTCGTATCGCCAGCTTTCTTTCCCCTACTTGTGGGTTGAAATTTCGGGTCCATACTAACCGGCAACTTAAGATCCTTTAACAATCGCCGGTAACTATAGAACATAGCTACCGCTTTGAGGGAAGAGTGTCCCTAAAACTCCTTTAAACAGAATGGTTTTTACACGACTATGCAAGTATATACCTTCACCGAACACGAAGCCGTACGAAGTGTCGATAGACGTATGGGAAACCTGCCACTGTTTTGTGTGTTTTAGATTACATAAAATGAACCTTAAACTTTTCTAATTTTTTTGTATGAAAATAATGCTTTTTACTTAATGTTTTTGAAATGGAAATTCATTGATATACGATGTTTTCATAGGCTCATGTAAAAGAGTTGTGTGAATTGTATTCTTGGCTGACTGAAAACCCTTTTTTATCAGAAGTTTTATTTTGCATTTTAAATATAAATTGTTTGATAATTTAATTTCCAAAACTTTTCAAAATTGAGGGACATAAAATTTTGCTCTCATTTAAGTAGCTGTTTCAGATCTACTTTACAGGTTTTATCTATTAAGTTTTTCAGGCACAGTTTTTTCACAGAAGGATCAAAATTGACAATGAAGCTTTTTTTTCTGTGCGGTCAGAGTTTTGGTTTTTGTTTTCAGATGATCAGAAAAAACTAAATCTGCCCACGTTTTTCAACCACTGAATTTTCTAAAGAAAATTCCCTTTTAGCCATATACAAAAACGAAAATTTTGACCTTTTGAAAAATGTGGGTGATTTTTGTACCGGGATGTGTTTGAGTTTTTTCTTTCGTTTCTTTTTGTTTTTACGCAAAATCAGCAAAAACAAATAATCAATAAAGTAGGTCAAATCAATTATTCTATTAAAATCCAATGTCAAAAAAAAATTCGAAAATTTTAAATTTCCAGTCTATCTTTGAACTAATGTTTTTCAGCGCCTTTTTGGCAAACAAAAACTTCCAAACGTAAAAAGGAAAATCTGCAATAAAATGGAAAAAGAGTTTGAAAATTTTTTATACAATTTCTGTTTTAGTTTTACTAGTCAATTTTCTATCTAAACAAATTTCGAAGCAGCCTATCCGACTATGGTTGTCGAATATGCCTAATTTTGATTCTTTGGCTCAGATTTTTTGATCACATCTTACAGGAAAATTACACTAATTTGAAAAAGTGTACTTTTTCAAAATTGAGTTGCAAAGATGGAGTTGCAAAGTTAACTCTTTTCGTTTAAGTGAAAAACGTATGACAAAACTTTTGTCAATCTGGGTCAAAAATAACCACATGAGCATAACGGGTATAGTTTTTTATATATGCAAAAGTATCTCAGCGGACCCCGACGCACACAGTGCGTGTCCCGTAGCTTATCCTAGCCATGCCGAGATGGAGTTGGACACTCTTGCTACCTGGTCACTTAAAGGGAGCGTGTAGTGCATACGACATCCCACCTTACGTGACCAGCTTGGATCCTATAGGGGCACCACTCCTATTCAATCCCACTCGTTGGCCCATGGTCATCATAGAATACCCACAGGGATAACTTAAAAGGTCTCTGGCTTAGTCCGAGGTCTTTGGCTTAGACCGATGAGCATAGCTCATGCACTACTTGGGCAGTAATCTCGTATCGCCAGCTTTCTTTCCCCTACTTGTGGGTTGAAATTTCGGGTCCATACTAACCGGCAACTTAAGATCCTTTAACAATCGCCGGTAACTATAGAACATAGCTACCGCTTTGAGGGAAGAGTGTCCCTAAAACTCCTTTAAACAGAATGGTTTTTACACGACTATGCAAGTATAGACCTTCACCGAACACGAAGCCGTACGAAGTGTCGATAGACGTATGGGAAACCTGCCACTGGTTAGACCAGTGGTAGGAGGGGCATGCGCAATACAAAGATGTCGGGTATCCCCCAAGGCTCACGTTTGCCGAAGCAACGCTCCCCAAGGTTCGCACCTACGTCTCTAAGCACTGGGCAAGGCGGCGGGTGACGTTTGCAGAAAAGGCCTCAGAGATGATCAGAAAAAACTAAATCTGCCCACGTTTTTCAACCACTGAATTTTCTAAAAAGATTCCCTATTAGCCATATACAAAAACGAAAATTTTGACCTTTTGAAAAATGTGGGTGATCTTTGAACCGGGATGTGTTTGAGTTTTTTTTTCGTTTCTTTTTGTGTTTACGCAAAATCAGCTAAAACAAATAATCAATAAAATAGGTCAAATCAATTATTCTATTAAAGCCAATGTCAAAAAAAAATTCTTCAGTCTATCTTCGAACTAATGTTTTTCAGCGCCTTTTTGGTAAGCAAAAACTTCCCAACGTAAAAAGGAAAATCTGCAGTAAAATGGAAAAAGAATTTGAAAATTATTTATACAATTTCTGATTCAATTTTTCTAGTCAATTTTCTATATAAACTAATTTCGAAGCAGCCTATTCGACTATGATTACCGAATATGCCTAATTTTGAATCTTTGGCTTAGATCTTTTGATCACATCTTACAGGAAAATTACACTTATTTGAAAAAGTGTACTTTTTCAAGATTGAGTTGCAAAGATGGAGTTGCAAAGTTAACTCTTTTCGTTTAAGCGAAAAACATATGACAAAACTTTTGTCAATCTGGGTCAAAAATAACCAAATGAGCATAACAAGTATAGTTTCTTTAAAATTTATATCTAATTTGACACTATTTTTGGCGGTAATGTACAAAATGATACCGAATCATTGATAAATGAATTCGGAATCAGTAAATCATCAGATGTATTTCTTATTTCAAACATTGAGCAAAACTACGTACCTTCCAATGTCCGAAGCTGGATTATTGATTTATATCCTTTTGGTTATAAATCATAGAGTAAATTCAAATAAGGTACACCGTCTGCTCGTCACCCTATCTTATTTTTGGCCGGATAGATTTGTGCAAATTCTTAGTCTAATACCAATCTTAACCTTACTCTTATATCCCCTAGTCTCAAAAGATCTAAAGTTCACCGGTTTATGCGAGTTAGTTCCAGAATGAGAACAACTGTAATCTAAGTTTAATTCAAATTGTTCTGGTGTTGAAACTACAAGAAGTTTTAACACTTACAAATAAGTGTGTTGTTAGTTTGATGGAGTATGATTGGTTAGTATTTAATATTTTATAGAGATAAAATATCATAATAAGAACCAATGATAAATACTAGTTTAGATCTGGTTCCACCCAACCGGGGTTTAGAGAATTTTAGTTTTTCAATGTTGTATTGTGGTGTAGGATGAAAGATGG